AAAATTTCAATTTTTCTCATTTCTATTTCTTATTCTTAATTTATTAATTAATTTTTATTATTCTATTAAAAAAATTTTTATTGTATTGAAAACTTTTTATAAATACTCTAATACACTGATAGTATTTTAAAAAAAAACTTCTCACCTAAAAATTTCGTAGGTATCACTACTTGAAGTACCTTGAATCTCATCGTCGGGTAAAAATTTTTTTTTCTTATTTTTTATTAATTTTGTATTATTTTTATTTAATTATACTTATCAAAAACTTTTATTATAAATTTTATTATTTTATTTTTATTAATTATTATTATAAACAATAAAAAATTATTTTGATAAATTTAAACATTTTTATATGCATAAATATTAATAATAAAATTTAAAATAACAAAAAATAATATTAAAAAATTTTCAAAAAAAAATTTTTTTACCTGAACCGAATCAGTCAATAGTCCGATCAACGTCGGTCTGGGCTGGTCTAGTCTGTTCGATGGTTCGACGCTGGTTTGGTCAGGTTGGTTTGGGTTTAATAGTTCGACGTCGGTTTGGTTCGATCTGGGTCAGCTCAACTGGACTGATCGAGAGGTAAAAAGGAGAACGGGTCATCGGATCGGGTTACAGGTCGACGCACGAATCTTCTGGGATCGAAACAGTGTCATTTTTTTATCTTTCTAAATTACGTCATTTTGAAGGCCTATTTAAAGGCCAAATCAGCTTTTTTTTTTCAGTCTGTTTCTTTTTTTTCTCTTTTTCTCTCAGACGTTCCTTTTTTCTCTCTCTAAAACTCAAAATCTGATGACTGCTCTGTCTCTCTGACCGTCTTCGGTAGTCACCAGTCGCCGTCTGTCGATCGTCAAAAAAATTTAAAAATCTCTCAAAATTTTCTCTTTACCTCTCTAAACACGAATCCGAGCTTAGTTTCACAAAAAAGGCCTTGAACCGCGTAAATCTAGCCTGAAAGATTCGATCAAAGTGGTTTTTTTAATTTTTTAATTTTTTTTTATAGATTGGCGTTGTGGTTCTCGTTCTAGGGACTGTGATTTTGCTTGTGTTTTGGTGCTTGATTTTTTTTTTTACAAGAAGCTTTTTTTTTAACTTGTCAGTGTCTTTTTTTTATCTATTTCTTTGTTGGGTTTTTTTTTTTTGCAGGGTCTTTGGGCTTCTCTACCTTTTTTTCCACCAGTTTCATTGCTTTATTTATAGAGCAAAAAGAAGATCAAAATCCTAAAAAATCTAAAATTTTGGTGGCCTTGTATTAGGGCTGCCATCGACTGTCAGAACGGCTACCAGTGGCTGTAAGGGTCGAGGTGACTTGCAAGCAGCTGGAAGTGTGACTATCGACGGTAGATAAAAAAGCTGACAGAAAAATAAATAAATAAAATGGTGTCAACAACTACTATTAACACCCATTCGTTCTTCTCTTCACACCCCAAACCAAAACATAAATTTACTAAAAAATTCAAACATCCATCTTTTCACACCTCCTCTCTTCTTCAATAGAAAATTCTAAACTATTTAGGGATTAAGCCCCAAATCAAGCCCCAATCATCTATTTAATGTTATATATCTTGGAATCATAGGTATTCAAAAGATTTAGGATTTTAAATTTTGAGGTGTGATTCAAGCATTTCGAAAATGAATTTTCAAAAATTATTAAAAGTTTTCAAAAATAAATGTCTGAAATTTCTTTAATGTATTAGAAATTCACTTTCACAATCCCTTAAAAGCTTATGAATATCCATTTTCAAAAACGATTAAAAAATTTTTGAAGTGTATTTCCGAACTTTCTCAATGAATTTTGGACATTCATTTTTTGAATCCTTCAAAAAATTTCAAAAATAGATTTATGGTACACAATAATTTTTGACCACCAACCAAATAACTTTTCGGTACACAAAAATTGATCTCATTATGTCATCAATAAACCGATAAATCTACCAATAAGAACCTCTAATATTTCAGCTATTAAGCATTGTCCATTCAATAACATTTGTAACATTTATGCAATTTTGACATACGTGCATCTGAGAAGAATCGCTAAGTGTGAAGAAATATTCGTGTAAGTTGGTTGCTACACCATGTGCGATGAAGCATGACTGACTCATCATGCATGGTGCAATAGCTACTTGCACGAGTACTTCTTCATAATTAGTGATTTCTTTTAAATGCACGTTTGTTAGAATTGAAAAAATGTTGCAAATATTATTGAATGAATAGTATGACCAAAAGATTAAAGGTTTTTATTTTTGGATTTAAACAGCTCATATGTTGAAAAAATCATTACAGACCCGTTTGAAAATCATAATAAAAAACATCCGATATTTTTGTACCAGATATTAATCAAGAGATCACAATAGAGAAACTGAAGTAAAAAATTACTTCTGGAAATGCATTTTCAGATTATTGCAATCTTTCCGAAAATGCATTTTCGATATAATGAAAAAGTTTTCGAAAATAAGTTTTTGATATATTGAAGAAGTTTTCAAAAATTCATTTCTAGTAATTTACTGAGAAAGGATGTGAAAGACAAAAAATAATTAACTAAGGGATATTTAAATAATTTTTTAAAAAGTTAATTTTTTGAAATGTAATAAAAATTTTTTAGGATGCAAATAGCAACATTCGAAATTTTACTTAAGATAATGAAGAAATTATACCAGATGTTGGGAAGTGGTAGTTTTGGCATTATCGAAATGAGTTGAAGAACAAGGAACTTGACTTAAACGCACCATTTGAAATCCAAACAAAGCAATAATAAGTCAATAATAATAATAATAATAAAGAAATCTCTTTAGCTCATTCAATATTCATTCACTATCTGGAAGAGCCATTATTAAAAATGCTAAACTGAAATGATGGAGTATCAAGAATAGATTGAAATGCAATGAGAAAATGTCATGCAACTTCTATCCTATTTTAGGCCCTTGAAATTGTTGTTGTTATTTGCAATCTAATAGCACTAGTGAAAGCAAGCTTTGGCACATGAATTTGCATATATATATATATATATATATATATATATATATTAGAGTTGCTTATGGGTCCGGTCAAGTCAAGTATAGTATGATATTTCAACATTTTAAGCAAGTTCAGGTCTGATCTGACCTGATTTTTTGAACCTCATTTTCTGTCAAAGTCCATTTTTACGTATAATAATAAAGTTCAAACCCGCTCAAAACACTAGTATTTAAAATTAAGAAAAATAATTTTTTTATTTTTTTATAAATTATTAATTTAACTAATTTAATTAATTTTAATTGAATTTGTGGGTCATTTGGACTTGAATCCAATTTAATTTTGTTGAATGAATTTAAAATTGAATCATTGTTTTAATTTTTGCATAAAAAATTTGGATTTTATCTTATTTTAAGTAATAAAAGCAAATGAGCATTATCTATTACAAAAAAATAAGCAAATGGACATTCTTCCATTATAACAAAAATAATTTTTAAATTTTTGGATCAAGCCAGACAGGATCTGAGCCTTAAATGATAAAACCTTAAATCCGATTTTATTTTTTGATTAAGTCTCATTTATTTGTTTGAGCTCTTTTAATGAGTTTAATATTCATATCTAAATTTTTTAAAATTTCGAGCGAACTTTCAAATTTGGACAGACAATCTAACCCATGAGCGGGTCTAACATAAATAAAATCTATTCAATTTTACGATGCAAAGATTCTATTTAGAACTTGAAACATTTTTAATTATGATCCACTGCTGATTTATTGCTATTTTTGGCATTCATATCTGGTGATGGCCCCAAGATTGTGTTACCTTCATCAAGTTAGATATTGGAGAAGGCCAAGCTCTTTTTTTTTTTTTTTTTTAATTTTTATAAGAAAAACCTCCTTGCATGCTTTTACAGCAAAATGTTGCCATTTCATTCTATTCTTTTTTATAGCAATTACTTTTTTTTTTAATAATTAAACATCATGACTTGAATTGAAAACATTTATCTAAAATGGCAAAATCCAATTTGTACAAGTTTAACATGGTACCAATAAGACTAGATTCTTGAGCTGTTCATACAGAGAAGGGTACCCCTACCCTTATTTCTTTTATACGTATATATATATATATATATATATATATGAAGAGAGATTAACTTACAGAATATACAACTTTTTTAATCTTACACAATTTTTAATCCTTAATTTTATAAATCTAAGAGAAGAGATAGACAAATAAAAATGATTCAATTTTATTTCTTAAATTTATTTAAATCAATGATTTAAAAAATATAAAATTAAAAAAGTTTTACATTGTATAAATTGATCTTATATATATATATATATATAAAGTCAACACTCAAGATCTAAATTTATTTTTCATCTCTAAACTGTTTAAAAAAAAAAAGAAATAGTGATTCAAAGAAAGAGGTAATTAAAGTAATTGCTGAAAAAGTACCAGGAAGGGATTCTGTTTTTTTTTTTTTTTTCTGTGTTTGGCTAATTTGACTCATTAACCTGTGATTTAGTCCTGTAGATATATTCACATATGCAGTTAAAAGATAACAATAGCCAAAAAGCTTAAAGCAAGAGATATTTTTTTATCATTTATTGACAGAATATTAAATTTTTAATTTTAATAATCAAAACACTTTAATTCATTTGATCATAAACTTTTTCCTATGCCCACAGGTGTGAAATGGAAAAAAGTTGAACATCATGATAATTATAGAATATAGACATTTCATTGATAAAAACATGACATAAAAGTAATTACAGAATAAAATTTGAGAGAAATGAAGAGGAAAGATTTCACGATGTTGACGGGCGACAAAGAATTCAACGACATTAAATATTAATTTACTATGAAATCAAAGGACAAAAACAAAAGAGAGCTGAAAATTTATTTTGCGTGTCTTCCGCAAGATTTGCCATGAAAATTAAACTACTAAGGAAATGAAAAATAATTGCCAAAAAGGAAAGAACATCATGATAATTATAAAATATAGATATTTCATTAATAAAAATATGACATAAAAATAATTACAAACTAAGATTTGAGAGAGACGGAGAGGAAAAGATTTCATGACGTTGCCTGGGGGACAGAGAATTGAACGACATTAGACTTTGATGAGATAGAGACATTAGACATTAATTTAATATAAAATCAAAGAGCAAAAATAAAAGAGAGCTAAAAATTTATTTTGCGTGACTTTAGCCAAATTTGTTATGCAAATTAAATTACAAGCTTAGACATACTAAAGTGGATCTCATTTCGTGGCACCTCGATCAGCCACTTAAATTAATTTGAGCTTTTTCATGTATGTAGCGTTTAAACTTTGTTGGAAGCATCCGTAGTGTTTTCTTTAATAGTTTCTGTTTCAGCAAATCCTCCATTGTTATTGTTGTTATTTGTGTGGTTTGGGAGAGGAGCCACAGCATTCACTTCTGAGCAAACCACCGTGCCTAGTTTGACAACATCAATTATATGCTCTGGTTGTTGAACCTTTGGATCTTCCACTTTGGGGTGGTTCTTGTAGATTGCATAAAGTATCATTTGAAGAATTCCAAAAATAAATCCAACTACATTTGGAACCTATTGACGCAAAAAAAAAAAAAAAAAAGTGAAAAAATTGAAAAGGAAAAAATAAAGAGAATGTCTAATTAATTGATAAGGAATTCAAAAGTTATAGCATGAATGAGATACGTACAGCAATATTCTTATCATTTAACATAAAGCCATAGAAGAACCACATCACTGCTGCTAAGGTGAGGAACACTGATAAAGTAAATGGCATGTACTCCACGCTCTTAGTTTTTATGACTTTTCTCTGCATAAGAATTGAAAATTCAAATGTATAGTGTAAAAAGGTATATGAATTATATCACTATGTAAAAAAAAAAGTTGATATAATCTGATTCTCACCACAATGGCAAGAGGTGCAGCGAACACACCCAAACCGAATGCCATGCAAATGTATCCAAGAATATGAAGACGGATGGAGGGGTTATGTAGAAAGAAAGTTGAGAGAAAGATTACTCCGAACCCAAAAACATTGAACAGAAGAATAAACTTCACAGTCATGACCTGCAATTCAACTCATTTGGAGATTTAATTAGAATAATTAATATTGAACTTCAAGGAGCAGTAATTGATGATAAAAAAAAAAGGAGAGAGGGTTGGCTTTCTGGTATATACCTTTTCCTTCTTTGGACCATAGTACAAGTAAGTAATAATGTAAAAACTCTGAATGAAACAGCAGAAAGTGTTGATGGTAATGAGAAGCATAGCATCTTTTTTAAGGAGCGCATAGTAAATCCAAAGCATGGCACTGAAGAGCGAAACGACGTAGGGAATTGATTGAAACCCTTCGGATGTTTTCTTCTTGTATATTTGGTAAAAAGTTGGCCTGGAGTAAATTATATATGGATCACCATCGTTTCATAAAAGACAAAGTCACTAGAAAATACGACAAAGAAAAGGGAAAAAAAGCTGACAAAAGAGACTTACAGGGGAGCAATGGAAACCAAAAATGAAACGACGTTGCCTAAAACAAAAAACGAACACAAGATATTAGATATTGAGAAAGAAATGCTGATTGAGACTCTCATGTATAGAAATGAACAGTAACGCTAATAATATTCCTAGAAGAAGAAGAAACATGAATATTTCTATACCTAAAATGCCAAAAACAAAGGCCCAAGACTGGTGAAGAGCCATTTCTATTGCAGTTAGATGTATGCAGCTAGTAAATCCTTCTCTTTCTCTCTCAATCTCTCCCTCAGAAGAAGTGTGGTGTTGTTGCCAAGTGAGGCTTTCAATCTCACATCTGTGAAGCATTCTCGCCGTTGATATTTATAAGTGATGAAAAAGTGAGGGATAAAAATTTGTGATCAAATTGCACAAGAGAAAAAGGTGGGTAAGCATGAAAGATATATACGTGTGTGTGTGTGTATATATATATTTTATTATATTATACTCGAAAAGAATTATAGAATTCGTAACTTGAAGATAGGTTAAGATTTAAATTTATGATTTATTGTTATTTTTTTTAAAAAATAAGATCAATCAAATGAATTAAATTTTAAATTTAATAAAATTTATATTTGATATATTATTTATATACAATATTTATGTCGTATCAATGAATTATAAAATAGTATTTTATAATAAACAAGTTTGAAACTAAGTATAAGAAATAAATATAGAGAAATTTTTTTAAAAGATTAGGTAGTTATTTTAAAGATTTTTTAATTTTTTAAATTTATTTATTAATGAGTTAGACAATCATGTATAAAACCTTCCTTCCTTAATTGGCTAGTGGCTATATATTGGTTATTATACTTTTTTTTAATAAAAAATTTGAGAGTAGATAAATTATTTAATTTTTAAATTAAAATAATTTATTATATTTAATAATTTAAAATAAATAATTAAATATAATACATTTAATATGATCTCCATAAATAATCATCAATTAAATTTAAACTCAACAAATTTTACATTGAAAAAGACAATCTGAGCCGATCACTATTATTACTCTTCAATGCAATGCAAGCAAGCACCAAATCTCCAGGTAAGCCCTACTTGACGGTACCATTCCTATTACATACACAAAATCACAAGGGTCCCACCATGTCTCTTTCTGATGTGTCACGCACCAAGTGGTTTTAAGGTTTACAGCTCATACTTCGTTGGGTCACATTTGGTTGACGAATTTGCCTTTTTTCTTTTACCAGAGTAAGTGATTCTACTCTTTCCTCTGCAATCCAACTTGGTGATGTTGCCACGAGTAGAAATGGTAATCGATCCGATCGATTTTCATTCTATTTTTTTAATAATATATAAAATTATAAATTTTTAAAATTTAATATGAATTTAAATTAAATTTTATATAATTTAATTTAATTCAAACTGAATTACATCAATTTAGATCTGTTCATTAATTTTTATTTTTTATATTATTTTTATTATAATTTTTAATATATTTAAATAAATTTATACATAAAATAAATTTTTTATTTTATAAAAATTTAAAAAATTAATAAAAATATATAATTCAATTCAATTTATTTTTTTATCTTTTACTTCTCAATTTAAATTTTAATTTATACTAAATATATATATATTTAATATGTAAATTAAATAAAAAAATCGATTCAATCCAAATAAACATTATAATTTTTTTTTTCACACCGTAACCATAACTAGTCGATCATCTTAATTAGCACCCGTTGTTGAAATGATTTTGAGAAAGACCCTACTTTGTAAAACTTGCTTATAAGGCCCCACTTACCACACAGATCCAGGACAACGCAAGTACGATATATGCTTAAATGATTATGTACATTGTGATCCACAACATCATAAAAATCAACTCTGCATATAATTTAATTACATGCATAAAGCCCTGTGCACCGTCTGGCTTCTTCAAGTCAGCTCAGATTTTGAATAGGAATTTTGGAATTCCAATTAGGTTAGAATAGATATTCAATTATTAATAATTTTTTAATTTTCTTTTAACTTAAAATATATTAATATTTTAATAGTTTTTAATATGTATATATTTTTAAAATTTTGGATATTTTGAAGGAAAAGATGATCGAGTTTTAAATAAAATTTTTAAAAAACCAATCAAAATTTATTTAATCCACGAACAAATATATATATATATATATATTAGTATAATTGTAAATATCATGTAGCTAGTTCGTGCATAATTAGATACCATTATTATCAAGAATTGTAATGTAGCTAGGGACGGAGCTAAAGGGAGGCAGGCAGGGACATGGCCCCTGGAATTTTTTTTATACTATTTTAGATCAGTAATTGAATTTATTAAAACTAATATGCATCTTCCTTTCTCCAATTTAATTTACTGTTTGGCCTCCTTTAGTTATTGTCTGACTTTGTCTCTACGTGTAACATTGCTAATATTATTTATTTATTTACTTTTATGAAAGAGATTGTAATTTAGATATAAAAAAAAGAGTTGTAAGTATTGAAATTCAAATTTTAAATTTATTAAATTTTTTTAATTATTATATGAATTAACTGAATTAAATTTTAAATTGATATTGCTAATATTATTACAATTAAATCCAATAATGTTTACGTATTTATTTTCTTCTCCCTGATCTCGAGCCTAACGATACAATCTATGAATCTCATCTTTAAGTAATAATGAAGGTTTTACAATAAAATCATTGTCAACGCTCTAGGGAATGTTATAGAAGTATATGTTTCAGCTCATTAATTGTTTCCTTTGTTTGAACGAGATTTTGGATTAATGATAAAAAGAAGATCTCGAAATCTCGTATTCAAGTCTCATTATTGATCATGATTCATGGATGGAACGAAGTTTTTCAGGCTAACACACTTCTGAATGGATATCCATTACATAAATTCATGAGAATCTAACCCACTTGCTTAATCTGATCAGTTGTAGAGGGTTCCAGAAGGGATGAAAATTTTACTTCATTTTAAGTAGTATTCTTTTTTTTCTGAGGTGTAATCCCACTTGAGGAACTATTAACTCGTTTGGCAAGAAAGAAACCCCATCAAACATTACAGAATCGAACCCAGCATCATGATGGAGAAGAGATGCTGTTTTACCAAAACAAGAAATAACTTTTTCCTTTTTCATCTTTCCACAGTTGACACCAGGGCCATAGAAGTAGTAGCCGATAGCCATGCCTGCCCGAAAACCTGATCCAGTTTTGGCATCAAGCTAGTCGTGTCCAACTCGCCTATGCAAATAGAATATCCTTTGCTTTTGTTCATATGGTTAATATAACTCTAATTAACACCATATGTTATCCAAAACATCATCCATATGACATGACATCCCACTTTAAAGAAAAAAAAAAGATTCAACAAAGTAAGGGAATTAAACAAAATTTTTAAAATTTTTGTTTTGACTGAAAAAAATTGGGAAAGAACAAAGAAAAGAAAAGAATCCGAAGTGGCAACCAATGTGGGTGTGGTAGCATGTAGGGCTGCCTTTATTAGGTGCAGCTAACTATGGTTTACTTTCATGTGATATTAGCCCACATTTGATTACGAGAAATTATTTATCAATAATGAAATTTTTAGATTTTATTAGCCAAGGTAGTAGGATGATATATTTCTTTGAGTTTATATTTAATATATCGTTAGTATATAAAATTTATATACTATTAGTAAATCAGATGATAACATTTCATTAATAAGTAAATATCAACCGTTAAAATAAATGTACAAAAATTAAAATGTATTAAAAACCTTACTCATTAATAAGGTGTTATTATCGGATTCACCTCATTAATGAGTTGTCATCATTTGATTCACTGATAATATATAAAATCTATATATTAATAGTGCATTAAATATAAACTCTAATTTTTTAGGGTATAATACAAAAAATAAAAAATATATATATGACAACTTTTTAACATCATTCATGAAGTTAAAAAATTTCACTATCAATATATCAAAAAAAAATTTTGTTATTAATTATGAAATAATAATAACCTTATGATTAGAGAAATTATTAGGAAATCAAGCATTAAGCAAGTTGGAAAGACCCACAATGAGGTAGTACTTAATTGAGCCTGCATTTGGTCCCAAGAATTAGGCAGGGCAGACATAGGATAAGGATTTGTTTCTGCTCCATATATAAGGTTAGAACTTAGAAATGTTGAAAACCCACCACCCACCAAAAAACAAACAAAAAAAAAAAAGGAAATGGATAAAAGAGTGCGAGAGAAAGTGCTTGATTTGGTATATTTATTAGATAATAATTTAAAATGAATAAATGTGACATCGCACATCCCAAATTAAAAAGCATAGACAAAAGCATCAAGGCATAATATATAGGGGCAAAAAATAAAGTCCAATTGATAATATATAGTTCCTAAAAATCAACATTAATCTTGAATACATGATCATTATGAAGTATTATAGTTCATTTTTTTTTATTTTTAAAACTGAACAATCTATTTATTTCATATTTCATGTAACAAAATAAGAAATTATTTTTCGAATGAAGTTGGTATTAGTTGTAGATTACATGGAAATTTTGTCCTTGGCCAAATTGTTGGGAAATGGTAGGGTAGATGGCACCCTTACCAGACAAACCATGGAATTAACCTAACATTTATTAATTTTAAATATTTGGGGTCGTTTGAATATACAAACTCATGAGTTTATATTTAATATATTGTCAATATATAAATTTTATATACTGTTAATAAATATGATGACACTTAATTAATGAGTAAATATTAGCTCTTAAAATAAATATATAAAAATTAATACTTTTTAAAAATTTATTCATTAATAAAATATTATCATCTGATTCACTGTATTAATGAAGTATTATTATCTGATTTACTAATAATGTATAAAATATATATACTAATAGTGTATCAAATAAAAATTCCAAACTCATTTACATAAGTATTTGATAATTAAATTTCTATATACTTTTTACATTGAGAGTGAAAATTGTTTGATTAAATTAGGTTAAACATTCAAATGTAGATATAAATGTATATAAATATAAAAATCATTTTGTCCTTGAAGTGAAGAATTGTTTTTCATAGGTAGAAGTGGCAAAAGGATAGGTTCGAATTCAGGCATTTTGGGTTTAAATGAAGTTGGATTCACATAAATTTAAGTTTAAATTTTTTGAGTTTCGATCAAGTTCGAGATTGGTTAAGTGATTTTTTTAAAAAAAATTTTACAAAAATTTTAATTATTTCAACATGCTTTTTGAATTCAAGTTCAAAAATTTTGAAGTTTGGATAATTTTGAATTCAAGTGATTAATATTAGAGAATTTATCAACTTTTCTATAGGTTATAAATATATATAGTTGGAAT